TTACAAATACAACTTCAGTCTTCACCCCAGACTCTGAATCAAAAACTGTGGATAGAGTCAGGCACAGAAAGACAAACTTCGCATGTTCTCACTTACTTGTGGGAGCCAAAAATCAAAACAATGGAACTCATAGAAATAGTAAAAGGATGGTTATGAGAGGCTGGGAGGGTAGCAGGGGGGTGAGGGGTAAGTGGGGATAGTTAATGGATCCAAAAAAGAATAAAATGTGGTTCGTGATAGCACACAGGGTGACTATAGTCTGTAATTTAATTGTACATTTTAAAATAAAGACTATATAACTGGATTGTAACATTAAGGATAAATGCTTGAGGGTATATCTGTGTACTGTAGGTAATTAAAAAGAAAAAATAAAAACATACAAAAAATGCTTGAGATGATGAAGACCCCATTTTCCATGTTGCGATTATTACACATTGCAAGCCTATATCAAAGTATCTCATTTACTCCATGGATATATACACCTACTATGTACCCACAACAATTTTTTTTTTTTTTTTTTTTAAAGATAGAGTCTCGCACTGTCGGCCAGGCTGGAGTGCAGTGGTACAATCTTGGCTCACTGCAACCTCTTGTCTCCTGGGCTCAAGCAATTCTCCTGCCTCAGCCTCCTAGGTAGTTGGGATTACAGGCATGTGCCACTACACCTGGCTAATTTTTGTATTTTTAGTAGAGACAGGGTTTCACCATGTTGGCCAGGCTGGTCTCGAATGCCAGACCTCAGGTAATCCTCCCGCCTCAGCCTCCCAAAGTGCTGGGATCACCGGGGTGAGCCACCGCACCCGGCCAATGTTTTTTTTTAATAAATAAAACTCTGGGCCAGTTGCAGTGGCTCATGCCTACAATCCCAGCACTTTGGAAGGCTGAGGCGGGCAGATCACCTGAGGTCAGGAGTTCGAGACCAGCCTGACCAACATGGTGAAACCCCATCTCTACTAAAAATAAAAAATTACCCGGGCATGATGGCACACGCCTGTAATCCCAACTACTTGGGAGACTGAGGCAGGAGAATCTCTTGAACCCAGGAGGTAGAGGCTGCAGTGAGCCAAGATCGTGCTCCAATATGGGGACAGAGTGATACTCTGTCTCAAGTAAATATTTACAAAATAAAACTGAGTAGAACGCAGCCATAGGTGTTTTTAAAAGCCCCTTAGGTGGTCCTGGCACATACTAAAATTGAAGACCCACTATTCTAGCAGTTTTATCAAATTCCAATTTTTAAAAAATTTTGAATAGGATATGCAAATGCAGGTTTGTTACATGCATATATTCTGCCCTTGAGTCTGGGCTGTCAGTGTGCGCATCACCACCTTTATTTTTTTTTTCAAAACTTCTTGGGGACTGGACACCATGGCTCATGCCTGTAATCCCAGCGCTTTTGGGAGGCTGAGGTAGGCAGATGACTTGAGCCCAGGAGTTCAAGACCAGCCTGGGCAACATAGGGAGACCCTGCTTCTACAAAAAATAGAAAAATTAGCCAGGCATGGTGGCAGGTGCCTGTAGTCCCAGCTACTTGGGAGGCTGAAGTGGAGGATCACCTGGGCCCTGGAGGTGGAGACTGCAGTGAGCCAAGATAGCACCTCAGCACTCCAATCTGGGCAACAGAGCAAGACTCTGTCTCAACAAAAAAAAAAAAAAAAAAAAACTACATGGGGGCGGGGGCGGTGTCCCACACCCTATAGGAAGCCAAGGTGGGAGGAGTTCAAGGAGTTGAAGGCCAGGAGTTCAAGACCAGCCTGGGTAACTTAGCAAGACCCCATCTGGATGTCTTTTTTGTCATAATGGCAACCATTGATGATTTATGCCTGGATACATTAAACCATGGACTGTGGCTTTAAACATTTATTTCAATCCATGGCAGCTCGCCTTATCAATGCTACCTTTTTATTTTTTCTTTTTTGAGTTAGAGTCTTACTCTGTCACTTAGGCTGGAATATGCTGGCGTGATCATGGCTTACTGCAGCCTCAACCTCCTGGGGTGGGAGGCTCCCACCTCAGCCTCCCAAGTAGCTGGGACTATAGGCACATGCCACTACGCCTGGCTAATTTTTGTATTTTTTGTAGGGACGGAGTTTCGCCATGTTGCCCAGGCTGTTTTTGAACTCCTGAGCTCAAGCAATCTACCTACCTCCACCTCCCAAAATGTTGGGATCACAGATGTGGGCCACTGTGCCTGGCCTTCTAATCAATGTTACCTAATTCTGTCTTCAGTCAGTGGGACTCAACTCAATTTGCCTCCTGAGTCCTTTTGAAACCATTCCAATCTTGTCAGTTTCCTCGCTTTCTGGTATGGTAAGATTTCCAGGCTCATGTTGTACATTGTCAGTCCAGATCTGAAATCAGCCATTTCTCCAAGGAGCCCTGGTTTTGTTGGAAATGGTGTTTAGCAACCAGTCCGGGCAATAAGCAAATTCATTGCCACTTCTTTGGTCATTAGGCCTTTTCAGTGGACAGAGCTAGGAAAATATTGCCTGATTCTCCCTCTAGCCACACAAATCATGTTACCTTCTGGTCATCTGAAGGTCCTCTCTTCTCCAAGCCGAAACCCTTCCAACCCTGCCTCAGTCAGTGCCACAGTTTTGAATCTCCTAGCCATATGTTGTCTTCCTGCACTCTTCATTTGTGAGTGCCACTCACAGAGTGGTGTCCACTGGTAGACAAAGCACTCCAGGTTTGCTCTAACCTGCTCAAAGCAGAGCAGTACATGACTTCCCTGCCTTGATATATGCTTCCTCAGCTGACTTCTGGGCCGTTTCTGGCAAAGGGATAAGAGGATTAAAAGGAAACTGTTTCTCTAAAATCCTGCAGCCTCTTTTCCGCACCTTCAGAGGGTTTAAAGCAGATAATGTGTCATCTTGCTTGGAGTAGTGAGTAGAAGGAAAATTCAGAGCCTAACTTTCAATGTGATTCTGGAGTATACAACAGCACTATAAATGGAATGAGTAAATAAAGACCTTAAATTATAGTTTTCACCCACCTTGACCATTGCTTGCAGACCCAGCAGTAACTCAAGCCCAGACAACAGTGTGGGTGTGATCATAAGATGATCAGTGCTCACTGGTGTTTTCAGGAAGTAAGTGTTTATTAAAAACTGGCTGGGCGCGGTGGCTCGCACTTGTAATCCCTGCACTTTGGGAGGCCAAGGCGGGCAGATCACTTGAGGTCAGGAGTTTAAGACCGGCCTGGCCAACATGGCAAAACCCCATCTCTACTAAAAACACAAAAATTAGCTGGGCATGGTGGCAGGCTCCTGTAATCCCAGCTACTCCAGTGGCTGAGGCAGGAGGATCACTTGAGCCCAGGAGGTGGAGGTTGCAGTGAGCCGAGATCATACCACTGCACTCAAGCCTGGGTGACAGAGCAAGACTCTGTCTCCAAAAAAAAAAAAACAAAAAAACTACCAGATGTGTGGTAGATGACATTACTGTCAGAGATACTATCTCCCCATTCTGCATTTATGAGTACTTCCCTCTCTTGATGTTGGCCAATGGAATTTAGCAGGGATGATCTATTTGGTAGGCTGAATGATGCCCTCCCCCACCCCCCAGAAGGGGTACGCTCAATCTCCAGAACCTGTGAATATGTAACAACATTGTAAAAGACACTTTGCAGATGTAATTAAATAACATTCTGGAGATGCAATTATCTGGCTAGGCCCAGTGTAATCACAAAGGTCCTTATAAATAGGGAGGCTGAAGAGTCAAAAATCAGAAAAAGTTGGTGTAAAAATGGAATAGATTGGAGATGCTCTACTGTCAGCTCTGAAGATGGAGGGAGCCATGGAACAAGGAAACGGAGTCTTCCTAAGGGAGCGCAGCCCTGCCGACTCCCTGACTGGGCCCCTGCCTCCCTCCCTCGACTGTCCCAATGAAACCCATTTCTGACTTTTGATCTCCAGAACCATAAGACGATACATTTGTGTTATTAGGTTGGTGCGAATGTAATTGCGGTTTTTGCCATTACTTTGAAAATATTTTAGGCCACCAAGGTTGTGGTATTTTGTTACCGAAGCTCCAGAAAAATTAATACAACACAGCTAAAGCTTTAAGACACAGTTGCACAACTGGGCTTGCTCTCTTGCATCCCAGCTGTCTCCATGAGAATAATACACGTCAGCCAGCCCACTGGTCCAAGAGGACAAGAGACAAGCTGGCTAGAGCCGCCTGTTAGCCTTGGCCACCAGCTCGAAGCAGAACCCAGCCCAGATCAGCCAACCTGCAGAAATGTGAAAAATAAAAACTTAGTGGTGTGTGCTACTCAGTTTTGGGGTTTAGCGACAATGATAGCTAACTGATACGGGGTGCTAGGCAACACCACATATGTCTACAATAACTATACGTGGTAGAGAAACTGTTATCCAGCATTTTACAGATGATGAAACGGGCCAGGTAAACACACATGCCCAAAGTCACACACAAGGCAGCATTCTGAAGTTCAGTTGTTTCATTTTGCCTAAATAAATATGAGAGAGATCTTCCATTTTTCCTTCCCAATTCCCTATTCGCCTGTCTGAGCCTCAGGAAACTAGCCTCGTGACTTCATCCACACACTTCCCTGCCCTCTGGTTTCTGACTGGGATCAGCCATTAGGAAGCAGCAGTGGGAAGTGGAAAGCGGGAGAAGATAGAAGTTGGGGTCTTTATTCCCACAACACCCCAGCCCCACCCCTGCAGACTTAACTAAGGCTGGCGGTGGCCTTCAACCGAAGGCCATGGTGTCTGGTGTACACAGCCCTCTTGTTCCAAGTCCTGGTAACCACTGCCTCCCTTTGTCGTAGCCCCACCGTCTTATGCTAACCGTTGTCATTTTCCTACACCCTGCCCACGCCATTATAAATAAGTTAATGATTTATTAGATTACCTTCAACTTACTCAAGTGGGAGTGTGCCTTCTGTTTCCTGTCGTGACCCTACAGATAATAGCAAGTAAGATAAACAGTAAGTAAATATTTCCTGTTTCAGGGGACTATGAAACATCACACTTAGTGCTTGCTTCGGCAGCATATATACTAAAATTGGAATGCTACAGAGAAGATTAGTATGACCCCTGCGCAAGGATGGCATGCAAATTCGTGAAGCCATGCATATTTTAATTAAAAATTATAAAAATAAATATCTGGTAGATATGCAGGCAGGGTGGGGCAAAGCTCTGAGAGGTAGGGTATGCAGGTCAGCATTATCTAGTTGCAATGGTTATGTTGAGTAATGGGCCACCTGGTGGTCTCACTGGAGGCAACAAGGCTGTAAATCAATTATTCAGCATTCTTTCCTGAGATGGGACACTCTCAACCTTGGTTTGATATTCTGGACCTCCTAAGGCCAGTTCCTGGAATTATTTAAATAAAAGACATGGTTAAACATTAAGAGAGCACAGAAGAACAATACAGAATGGCTGGACTAGGTGTGGTGGCTCACACCTGTAATCACACACTTCGGGAGGCTAAGGCAAGAGGATCACTTGAGCCTAGGAGTTCGAGAGCAGCCGGGACAACATAGTGAGACCCTGTCTCTACAAAAAAATTAAAAATTAGGCAGGTGTGGTGGTATGTGCCTGTGGTCCTGTAGGTCTAAAACTGGCCTGTTTGGAGATTTGGTTATTATTTCACTCTTTCCTGATTTCTTGGAAGGTTTGATAACAATCTTGGTTTCAGGCCAGGTGTGGTGGCTCACACCTATAAATCCCAGCACTTCAGGAGGCCAAGGCAGGCGAATCACCTGAGGTTGGGAGTTTGAGACCAGCCTGGCCAACATGGTAAGACCCTGTCTCTACTAAAACTACAAAAATTAGCTGGGCGTGGTGGTGGGCGCCTATACTCCCCAGCTACTCAGGAGGCTGAGGCAGGAGAATTGCTTGAACCTGGGAGGTAAGAGATTGAAGTGAGCCGAGATCATGCCATAGCACTCCAGCCCGGGTGACAAGAGCAAAACTCCATCTCAAAAAAAAAAAAATCTTGGTTTTGGCTTGGTGGTGTGGAACTTCAGCATTTGTACTCCATTTTAGTTTGGTCCATTGGGTCTAATGCCAGAGCCCATTCCAAATAATGAGCTCCTGAAAATTGTATTTAACATAAGGGAAGGAAGGAGATAGAGGGAAAGAGGGCAAAAGAAAGAAAGGAATGAGGCCAGGTGTGTAACTCACGCCTATAATCCCAGCACTTTAGGGGGCAGAGGCAGGAGGATTGCTTGAACTCGAGTTCAAGATCAGCCTGGGCAATATAGTGAGACCTCATCTCTTAAAAACAAAAACAAAAGAAAGACTGAAGAAGAAAGGAAGTAGAGAGGAAGGAAAGAACTCTTCATTTATATTTCCTGGCTCTAGGTTTGCGCTATATATATATGTGTGTGTGTGTGTGTGTGTGTGTGTATTCTGACACTTTTTAAAACAGTTAAGAGGATTTTATCCTGCACTATTGGAAGAGGGGAGAGAGGTCTGCCTCAACCAAACAGCAAGGGCAAGAAGTGGGGATTTATAGGCAACAAGAAGAGTGAGGAGTGAGGGGGTCATAGCTGAAAAATAGTACTAAGAGCAGACATCATGGGTAGGGGGATTCTAGCTAAACTGAACTAGCGGGATTCTTGCTAGAGGCAGACCAAGGACTTACATATCAGAGGTGAAGGAGCAGAAACTTGATCAGATATCAAGGATGGGGGATAACTTAGCAGGATTCTTATTAAAACTGGGCCAGGCAGGCCAAGGGCAGGAGGGAGGAGAGGCCAAGTTTGGACAAGGAGAGAGCCTTTTGCCAGTTTTTTAAATCACTCTTTGAGTATGAGCCTGGGGAACTGGAGAAATCATTTTTTTCTTTTTTAAATATAGCTATGGGGTTTTGCCACGTTGCCCAGGCTGGTCTCGAGCTTCTAAGCTCAAGCAATTCGCCTGCCTCAGCCTCGCAAAGTGCTGGGATTATAGGCATGAGCCACTGCACCTGGCTGAGAATTCAAAAACACTAAAAATTCATAAGATTAGAGCACTTTAATGTGGTGCTTCACAGTATACAACGTTTTAAAAATCAGGGTTGGGTGCAGTAGCTCACATCTGTAATCCCAGCACTTTGGGAGGCCAAGGCTGGCGGATCATCTGAAGTCAGGAGTTCGAGACAAGCCTGGCCAACATGGTGAAACCCCATCTCAACTAAAAATACAAAAATTAGCGGGGCCTGGTGGCGCACATCTGTAATCCCAGGTACTCGGGAGGCTGAGGCACAAGAATCACTTGATCCTGGGAAGTGGAGGCGGTAGTGAGCCGAGATCACACAACTCCACTCCAGCCTGGGAGACAGACTGAGACTCTGTCTCAAAAACATATAATAAAAATAAAATCAGTAACCTGAGGATACCGGATATCAACTCCTATGTCCAATTTATTTCATTAACCACTTTAGATTAATAAATATTAGAACGCTACATAGAACTGTATCATCAAGTCGAACCACACTCCAATTTTCAGGGCAACTGCAGTTTTCAGGGCAATTGCAATTTTCAGGGCCGCAAGCAGTCTGCACCATTTTCTTGGGCCTCATTTGAAGCCACATTGCATACATCCCACAAGTCTCTACTAAAAATACAAAAACTAGGCATGGTGGCACAAGCCTGTGATCCCAGCTACTCAGGAGGCTGAGCTGGGAGGATGGCTTGAACCTGGGAGGTGGAGGCTGCAGTGAACTGAGATCGGGCCACTGGATTCTAGCCTGGGCAAGAGAGTGAGACCCTATCTCAAAAAAAGAAAAAAGAAACGCCCTTTAGCTCTTCCCTGTTTTTGCACATACCAGCAGTGTAACAAGAGTCACACATAGTTAGCTTAAAAATTAATAATAATGAAATCAGTAGGCACTGCAGCATGCACTTGTAGTCCTAGCTACTCAGCAGACTGAGGTGGGAAAAATGCTTGAACCCAGAAGTTTGAGGCTGCAGTGTGCTGTGATCGCACCACTGAGGATGCCAGCCTGGGTGACAGGGTAAGACCTTGTTTCTTAAAAAAAAAAAAAAAAAAGTGTCTGCAGCTCCATACTCTAATTGATAGAAACAAGAATTAAGTTCCTACAGCATATTTGGCGTATTCCTGCTTACAAAAATATCACCAAACTTCTGAACAAGATCAAAACACTTCTAATATTAAACATCGAGATAAATGTGAGCTACACATACCTTTTACAAAGATTAATAGAAACAAGAGAATAATTGACCCAAGTTTTGGTTAATCAGTGAGTGAGGGCGGTCGTGGTGGTGGTGGGTTAAATCAAGGAATAAGTGTTTGTAAAGCGAAAATTTTCAGGAGCATGTCCTCCCACTATACAGTTCAAAAACAAACAAGAACCAATCTGGTAGACTCACTGAGTGCTTTTGGATCACATCATTCATTGTCCTGCATTTGTATGATTATCATATACTGTATGGATTTTTTATTTTACAATAATTTGTATTCACTCATTTTCATTCATTCAGTTTCCAAGCTGCTTATTCCAATTCAGGGTCTCAGGTGGCAGCCTGTCCTAGCAGCTCAGGACGCCAGGTGGGCGTCCCCCCAAACAGGATGCTGTCCCAACACAGAGCGCGCGCGCGCGCGCGCGCACACACACACACACACACACACACACACACACTCACACACACTCCAACAGGAACCATTTAGACATGCCAGTTCACCTAAAGTGCACATCCATGGGATGTGGGAGGAAAACAGGGTACCTGGAGAAAACCCACACAGGCATGGGGAGACCATGCAAACTCCACACAGACAGTGACCCTGGCTGGGAATCAATTTGTTTTCTCAACAATGTTATAACAAAAGGATGTTGAATGTAATGATGTTATCTGAGGACTGGCTGTAATTAACCAACTGACCAGCAGACTGCATCTTCATAGTTACTATTATTCCATGTGCAAACAAGAGATCCAAAGGAGAGAAGGGTTAGAAATCCATTTTTTTCTTATCAAACGTATATTCTTTTATCCATTTCATTACAGTATTTTATCCATTGCATTACAGCCTTTTCTGAGCAAAGTGGAAGTTCAAGTCAAAAGTTAGATGAAAGTCGCTTTAAAGTTCAAAGAGGAGAAGAAATGAACTTTTCTTTTGAGAGCCTCCTTTGTGCTAGATGCTTGCACCTAGCTATGAGAAATGCCAAGATCTTTGCATCTATGGAAGTAGAGAGTAAAACATTTTTTTAAAACGCAAAGATGAGTATGATGAGAGTTTGTGACCACATGCCACATACCAAATCAGGACAAGGCTATCAGTAATAGCACCTGAGATTCTCCAGGCTAGAATAAACCTCCATCATCATCTTGTTCTATCCCCATCTGATGCTTGAGTCAGATATTGCTTCTTCATACCCAGTCTGCTTAGCTTTTTTTTTTTTTTAGACAAGTTCTCAGTCTGCTCTTCATACTGGAGTTCAACCGTGCAATCTTGGCTCACTGCAACCTCAGCCTCCTGGGCTCAAGCAATCCTCAGGCGCGCACCAGTATGCCCAGCTAATTATCTTCTGTATTTTTTGTAGAGACAGGGTTTTGTCATGTTGCCCAGGATGGTCTCAAACTCCTGGGCTCAACTGATTTACTCATCTTGGCTTCCCAAAGTGCTGGGATTACAGGTATGAGCCACCACACCCAGCCTGCTTAGTTGTTTTAAAATAAAAACTTTAGACAAATTAAATGTAAGAGTTTAATTGAGCAAAGAACGATTGGTCATTTGGACAGCCTCCTAAACCAGAATAGGTTCAGAAAAACTCCAGGCTTACTGCATGGTCAGAGAAGACCTGTGGACAGAAATAGGAAAGTAACATACAAAAAATAGAAATGAGATACAGAAACAGCTGGATGGGTTACAGCTTGGCATTTGCCTTATTTGAATACAGTTTGAACAGTTGGCCACCTTTGATTGACCAAAACTCAGTGATTGGCATGAGAGTAGGTTACAGTCTGTTTAGCTAGACTATACTTCACTATGTACAGAGAAATCTTTAGGCTGAACATAAGGAGGCAGATTTAGGCTAAACTTAATTTAACAACTCTCCGCTTTTTGTCAACCTCTCAAAACTTTAGGCATTGATATCATTCTGTCGTCATTGTAAATGTACTTATTTGGGCTCA